TTTTTAAAGCCTACAAAATTCCACCCATGAGACCGGCAAATGAAAAGCATTATATTATGCAAAAGAAAGGGCAGAACAATAGGATGGTATGAGAGAGGATGGTAATTTTTCCCCTCTAATGGAAGGAGTGCTGTTATTACCTCAAAGAATTTGCAGCAATGACTTGCTGTGTTTGTGACATTTGCCTCCAACTGTTTTCATAGTGACTGGACTTCTCTTTCAAGTTTGAGAAACTGGCAGTGATGTTCACATGGATATAGAAGTTTCTCTTACATGAACCTATATAGAATCTACTCTGAGAGGCCTTTTTTTCTTATTTGAAAAAAGGCAGCATGAGTTTGGGTAATGTAATGGAGTTAAACATAGTGTAGCCTTGATGTAATATCTCAGTAAGTGAAATATGTTCATGCATTTCTAAATTTTGGGTAATGTCTAAAAAGCCAGCTCAATACACTGAAAACACCATATCCAGAAATAAGGACAATGCAATTGTAAAAAATATGCACTCAAGTAAGAAAGATGTGGAAACTTTTCTTGCAGATAAGCAGAGGAGACTTAAGCACAGTTTCACCGTCCAGTTACAGCTGATGAGCCATCAAAGGCAATGTTTATCATGGCTGACAATTTAGCATAAGTTTGCACACACATCTGTAAACGTTGCTCTAGATGTGGTACACCTCTCTGTATGTGCATGCACAGTAGAGTCACACACATCCTTCTGAGACATACACAGTGCAGGAGATGTACAGGTACAATATGCACACCACACCATGCATGTAGGAATAGGCCATGAAATAAGCAGCACTTCTCTTAATGTTTTCCCATGTTACCTGTGCTCCCTCCATTAAACAACCCCTGGCAGGCATTGGCTCTCTTGAGCTGTCTTGATATCTAAAATTAAGCAAAGCATCCTCAAGCACACCTAGGAATGGATCTGGAAGCAACAACAATGATATTTCTCGAGAAAAAAAAATACAATCTGTGTTATACTTTGAATGTGCAGTGTGAGTGGTGAAGAGCAGTCAAAGTCCCAAATGCCAGTACAGCATAGGTGACGAGTTTGCCAGTTAAGATTGTGAAGCACTGTCAGTGACCTCAAATACTGTGATGCTCAATCTCAACCAAGTTGCAGTGCCATGGTGTATGAAATGAAATAAACATAGTGTAGAATTCACACTCAATTTGTTTTCAACAAATAGCACAACTGCATTATCTCTGCCTTACTTTAAAAGCTGAAGTACAAAAATTCCCAAGTATCAGACATTACAAATTAGCATTTTGCCTAGTATCTTTCTGGCAGCTCAAAAATGTAGAAGTAGAAAAGTGCAGATGCTATAAATGATCTATGCCTGCTACAAGGCTCCAAGGAAGAATATCCTAATTAAATGAAGTTTTTAATTCCATGAAAACCTGAATGTCATGCATGCTTTAGCTAAGATTCCAAACAGAACTGCTTAGGTATCATGGGAGTGCAGTGTATGAGTCAGAAGAGGCAGCCACCATTATGAACACCTCAGCTCCACCAGACATCTCTGCATACCCTTGGGGCTAAAAAGAAGTAACCTACAAATATGTATCATTTTGACCTGCTCCTAGAAGCCAGGGCAATGTTATTTCAATGGGCAAATACATAAAAGATATAAAGTATATATAAAATAGAAAATCGCAGAGGGTAAAACTACTACAATGAATATATATGCTTTTTTAAGATTCCCAAACACATTAAAATACATGATGATTCATGAACTGTGTGAAGTTCAAGCCAGTGGTGGTTTGGGAGAACATCGCTAGGGACAGGTCATCCCCTGGTCAGCCTTGGTGAACAGACCATTTGTGGCACAGACCAAAAATTTCTGCCAAAAGGAGCTGGCAAATGTGAAGCCTTCTCCAGTTGTTTGTGACTTGTTTTATACATCTTTGACAACTCCTGAAATTAGTAAAGTGTCTTTTGATAATGTAAGATCAGATAATTTTGCATAGAGGGACTGTGAAAGGAAAAGAAAAATCACCTGATAACAAGACAGGCTTGTAGAGCATATTTTAGCACAGGAATCTAGGAGCCACCTGGAGGAAAATGAGGGTTTACAATCTCGAATATAAATTTGAATAGTTATGCATAGTCAGTGGGTAAGGGGTGAGTGAAAAGCAGTTTATAGATAGTATGACACTGCTTGACCATTCCTACTGTATATAGGGTCGCATGATGATAACTATTTTTAAAACTTTTGATGCTGCTGATTAGGGAAAAAAAGTTTAAAACTTCCTTTTGCTTCAATATTTGCATTTTGTAGAGGCAAACCAAGTGCATTTCAGGATTTCTACTCACTTTTTAGATCTATAAGGTTGATAATGAACCAAGACTTTTTAGAATATTCTTGCAGAATAAGTAAAGAAATATAATAATCAAGACAGCCAAGTAAGAAAATGAAGCTGCACATGGTTGAGAAAGTCATCAACTCTCTCAGAATATCTGTGTGCATATTCCTACTGCCAAAACCCTGTAGCCTACTTATTGTTTAGGTTACACAGATCCACCAGATTAGATCCTGGGAACTACTCAGGACTTTCCTATACTTGTTTCGCTTTAAACGGTGCCAGACTGATCTGTAATTCACTTTTGTTGAAAGTGTGTTATGCAGGAGTAGGAAAAATGCTTCATGCACCACGGCCCCAGCCCTCAGACCTTCAGATCAGACATCTCTCACTGCCTATGCCAGTACAGAAGTAATAAACTTCTATCACAATTTCACACTGAAAATGCCAAACACATAATGTATTTTGCTGCTTGTTCAGAGATGGACAGTGATTGAGCCTGTTCTACAAAGCTTTCTCCAGACTACCCATTGGCTCCTGTCTGGCTATCTCTTCTGACTTTTTGGTCCTTTTCATGTGAAGTCTAATCCTGTATTATTGCAATTAACGGAGACTGGTCTCTGAAAAGCCAGCTTTCAGAGCTGTGAGGAGGGTTAATGGGACTGAGCTCTTTGTCTGCCACAGAATGACGCTTTCTACTGTGTTTCTGACTTAAATTTCCTCAAAACAGATGAAATATTACACATTGTACTTCCTAAAAGTAATTCTGTGTCATTGGTCTTGCATTGTTCTTCTTCTGCAACCTATTATGTGCGCCTGTGTTCATAAATAATATATCCACTAGTGCATACAGCTAAAATTTTTGTGTGTGCATGGGTTTAAAGCAAATACAGCAACATATAAAATACAAATTAAATTGATGCTCACTGGACTTGTAACACAGCCAAATTCTTAATATTTTATAGTGCATATTCCATTAAATAAATAATAACTAAATTGATCTATGCTACAATATGTGTATGCATACACATTTTATGATACCTGTAAATAACATTTTAAAGCCTGTTCACACATCAAAAGACAGGTTGTTTATTTCTCTGTTAGAACAATCCAAGGATTTAACTCGTCCTATTATGTAAACAGTGGTGACAGACGCTTTCAAGGAAGCTTAACTTCAATAAAAATAATAGTTTCCCATTTTAAAATCAATACTAATATACCATAAATCCCCCGATGAACTCTGGCTTCCTTGCATGCTCTCACATTTTGTGTATTAGGGGCACAGCACTACTCTAGATATCAGAATATAATAATATGGCAATATATATAGATATAGATATATATTTAAATGTTAAAACATTTTTAGGTCAACTTGAGTAATGAATAAATTTCATTTATATGCTTCTTTCTATAAATAAAGGTAATTAATTTTCTTTGCAACATGGGTGCCTTTGTATGTGGGTAGCAAACCAGCAAAACAATTTCGGTATCTTTAGTTCAAAATGCAATTGTGACATAGATGAAGCTTTAACTTTTTTCTTTTTTGTACTAAAATTGTACTTGCAGTAGAGTTCAATATAATTTATGAGATTACTTTAGGGTAGACATTTTAAGCAACTCATACAAAAGAGAATTTTTTTTTAATAACAAGAAAGCTAGGAATAATCTATTCATTTCTCAAGCAGACCTTTATGAATCACTTTAAAAGGACACTACAGCTGAAGACTGAAGAGCAATATTTATCAACATTAAATAAAACATTCGGTGAAATATGTATAAATATTTCTTTATATGAACATAACACAAAATTAAATAGTTTAGATACACAGACACCATTTAATATATTTCCACTGTTGTCAAAATCATCTGTAAACACCATCTCACACTGAATACAAAAGCAGCTTTAACATCAGTTCTGTATTCACAACACTGATGCCCCTTTGTAAAATAAGATACTTGTTTTATTTTCAGCAAAATAAGAGTCTAAGCAACAAAAAAAAAAGTTTTGGTCAGCTCAAAGGAGAATACAAAATAATCTTTCAACATGTAACTAAATCAGATATCAGATTTAGAGCAACAGTTTAAAGTACAATCCTTTCCCCAGGGGACCTCTGACATTTATAAATCATGTTTGGTGCAGACCACCTCACAAATACCAGGAAATACTGGTCATGTCTAAACTATAAATATTAAAGCCCTTTTAAAATTGTCTTTATCAAAAATTGCCAGGTTACAAATTGGCAATATCACATTTTTCACACCACTGAAGAACCTGGCTTCAAACGGATTTAGGTGCACTTCTCCTGATGATTTTTAAAACAGGTTGTGAACAACAAACACTTTTTAGTGAGCATCCTTCACATGCAAAAATAAAGCATTTCTTTGAAACAAATCATTTGCATCTGAAGATCACCTGGGCAGACAGTGCAAGCAGCAGGGCTCCACCAACTTTTATCAGAAAGTTACAACTTGAACTTTCATGGGAAGCCGTAGAGGTACCGCACACAGGATGTGAGCTGGCTCTGAGAAGGGCGGTGCATCCCCACGATGCAGCTCAGGACAAGGTGTTGCAGGAGCCACGTGTGCTTTGGCAGCAGCACGGCCTCCCCAGCAGGACACGGGGCTGCTGCTGATGGCTGCACCTACCTGGCTCCTGAGCAGCTCCCTTTGAGCACTGGTGCTGTGCAGCCCACATCTGGGCTCTCATTATCCTGTGCCCTGCCAAGACAGCTTCCTGCTCTTCTCTGAATGTAGCCTTCAACTCCTTTCCCCTTTGTATCGTTTAATGATCACTTTGAGGAGAGACTCTGAGCTCAAGATTAAGATTTTACTGGGAAACTACCCAATTATAAAACCCTGTAAACTCACAGGCTATGTTTTGGTTTTCTCAGTTTGAAATGTGGACACTATGTTTTGGTTCCAGAGACAAACTTGAATTTCAGGTGGCAAATAATGAGTTATATACTTATAACATGATTTTCTAACTTTTAAAAAGTTTCAATCACATGTAATCACGATGGGGGGCCCTGTAAAATCTAGAACAAATAGGTCACCTCTGTCCTGGTATGTGTGCATTTCAGAGGTGTGAATGTATGCTACGCATACATACACACTCACACACATATAACATCAGCTGCACACAGAGATACTCAGAAATCAGGAATATGGGGTACAATTAACAATATATCAGAAGAGAAGTAAACAGGAAGCTCTACCAGGACAACAAGAGGCAATTTTTCAACCTATACAGTGTCTCAATTTCATAATCCCGTTTCACTAGCTTGCTACACCTGTATGTAACTTGAATTGAAAGTTGTTGGATTCCTTGGAAAAAGAAAAGTTGGGCTAGCTAGATGTGCTTACCTGAGATCCCAGAGTTGATTATAATCCAAGGGGTGGGCACATCAGTAATGGGTTTATAATTGCTATACAGCTTCTCACAAATTCATAGGAAAACTTTATTAAATCTTTCACTCCTTAGTAAAAATGTTGAAGTTTCTTAGTTTTTGAATGTGGATTGACTTTTATATTAAACTGGATTTATTGAAAGGATAAATAAGCCTGGCAGCTGCTTTCATGTCTAAATCATAGAATCAGCACCCTGGACCCACCTTCCCTCATCAACCCATCCTGTCTCATCCCTTACTACCTTGCCCATCCTGCCCTGTCCCATGCCATCCTGTTCTGTCCTATCCCACCCCATCCTGTCTCATCCTATCACATCCCTGCTTCGTTATTTTTCTATTTGTTTAAAAAATACTATTCTATGAAGCCTCCCTAGGGATCCGCTTATGAAAAATGACGGACTGCCTTTGCTGATACTGCTGTTTGCGTCGTTTTCGTTTGTCACACTGGCACAGCAGCAGCATCTTAAAAGTGTTTCTGAATGTTTTGTTACACAGTGCATAGCACATGGGGTTCACTGTGCTATTGATGTAGCAAAGCCAATACCCCAGGTTCCAGAAAGTTTTGGGGATACAGCTGCAAAAGGTGTTCACCAGAACCATGATGTTATATGGGGTCCAGGTAATGATGAAGGCAAACAAAATGGCACTGAGTGTCTGCGCTGCTTTCTTTTCTTTGATAAGTGACATTCGTTTCCGTTTTGTGATTTGACTTCTGGTCTTCAAGGCAAACTTTTTTGCCAGGGTTGCTTCCTTAAAGGACAAGGGCAGGGCTGTTGATGTCTTGGTGACTGATGAGATGCCATCAGAAGCTGTGGTTGTCTCTTCTGATTCTGGTTCAACTGGAAGCTTAGTAAAGCTCTTTTGGAAATTTCCACCATCCTGAACACCTTTGGGAGGGTGTAATTTTTTAGGTTTCTTTTCCTTCGATTCTGTGTCGGATTTCTGCAGTTCATCCCCTGACTCGTGCAAATCTTCCGAGGAGGGTAGTTTTGTGGAATTGAGGATAGCACTGTGACCAGGGAGCTTCAGCACGATTGAATAGATGGCCCTCGTCTCTGCAGCAATGTCTTCTTCATCAGAGGAGGCTGAATTTTCAAGGGAGGCAGCAGCATCATTGTTGTTCCAGCTGTCGCTGCTGCTATGCTCCTGGTCCCCCTGATCTGTGCTGGGTTCCCAGCTCTTCATCGTGAGCCAGAAGTGGCAGCGTCTGTATTTCTTTCGGGCGGAGCGTTTCATGTTCTGCCGCTGCAGCTCGTAGCTGCTGCAGCTCCGGGAGCTGCCTGTCTGGTGCACAAAGCGCGCCGCCTCCGCTTCGCTGCCCGAGGCCTGGAGCCCTGCTAACTCTTTGGTGCGTTTCTCCGTCTCCTTGTAGATCCTCCAATACAAAATACTCATAATGGTGACCGGCAAATAAAAGGCAGCTATGGCAGTGCCAAAAGTGATGATAGGTTCACTTAGAAACTGGATGAAACATTCGTCAGGAGGCACAGTCCTCTCCCCAACAAAATACTGCCAAAACAAGATGGCAGGGGCCCAAAGAACAAAAGAGACGATCCACGCTAAACCAATCATTATCCCAGCCCTTTTGGTTGTTCGTTTGGCTCTGTATGTCAGTGGCCTAGTGATGGAAAAATACCTGTCAAAACTTATCACGAGGAGGTTCATGACAGAGGCATTACTGGCGACATAGTCAATGGAGAGCCAAAGATCACAGGCCAAGCTTCCCAAAGCCCAGTGGTCCATGATGATGTATGTGGTATAAAGATTCATGGAAAGAACACCGATGATCAAATCTGCACAAGCAAGGCTCAACAAGAAGTAGTTGTTGACTGTTTTCAGTTGTTTGTTAACCTTAAATGCAACAATCACTAAGATGTTTCCTATGATGGTCACCAGTGCAAGGATCCCAGTGAGGAAAGCAATCAAAACTACTTGCCAGATAGTGTGTCCACCCAGAGGGTCTTTGCTTGTGGCATTGAGGGTCATGTTTGTTGATTCCACAGTGGAGAAAGGAAAACTCTCTGTGGTCTGAGGGAAATCATAGCTGCCAATGAGTGATGCTGCTTCATCAAGGAGTCCTGGTCCATGCGAATCTCTCTTCCAGAAGGAGCTCACATTCGGTAAAAGGAGCGAGGATGAACTGCTATTATGCATGATCATTGTGGCTCTCTGACATAGTCTGTAGCAGAGAAAAACCAAACAAAAATCAAGTGAACAAGTGAAGATGTTAAATAATTGGCCTCAAACTTGTACATAAAATCACTTTAGCACTTTGAAAGATGTCTTTAAAAAGCCAAGCTGCCTGTGACACAGTTCAAGTCAAACCTGTATGTGATATCCAGACTGTGATTAGTCTGAACTCTTTACAGTGATCACATTGTGTTTCCTTATAAACATTCAATTACAGAGGAACCAAAATCCCAGGAGAATTTGAATGTACAGTAGTATTAAAATGCCCCCAAGCTCTAACTCTGAATTAAAACACACCCTGCAGGATCTGTCCTGGACTCAAAATCTCAAAAATACTGGAGCCTTTAAAAATTAGGTTCCAATCATATGAAGCCACAGATCTTCCACGTTCCCATCAACACTGGTTCCCAGTGCTATCCTGGCTCTAACAAAACAGAGCCACAGCCTCTCTGCTGCCTCCAGCTATAGCTGATGGCAAACAAAAATATTGTTCTGCCTTTCCTTAAACTATGGTGATACCAGCCCGCACAATTTCACTGCATCAAGCTACTCTAACCTGTAAGGCTGCAAAACTCTTCCCATTTTCATCTACCTTTCAGCTATCTGATAAAAGTAGTAGAAGTTCTCATTAGCTATTTTTGTGCATGCCACTATTCATTTCTTCATGCATATTTTTATACTTGGACTAAGGATTTTGCACATCTAATGACTTCAAAATTTCTTTGGGGGCAACACACGGTAAAAGTTCCTTTGAAATTATGGTCTCTAGAGTCAGAAAAAAAACCTTTGACAGATGTATGTCAAAGCAATCACTAAACACTTTAGTAAAACAGCAGAAAAAAGCATGAAAGGAATTCATAATTAAGCTTTAATAATTTCCCCCCAGTAGTAACATAAAATGAAAACATGCTCAGACTAGGAACTTGCAATTCTCTTATTTCTTAGCTTCTCAAGTCAGCTGACTGGATCCCTAGTAGTAAATGAATTATATCATCAAGAAGAAAAAATTCAGATGAAAAAGTCCATCATTGACTGTAAACATTGAGCAAAACATGCTGTCAATGTTTGTTTGTTTTCTAAATGTGAATCTTTCCGGAGTCAATATATAATGGCATGAGATAACAATGAGTATCACAATATATTGATTTTACATAAAAATATTTAACCAAAAGAGGAGGGTTTGGTTATATTTTTCTAATTAATTTCTAAATTCAGCTTTCCCTTGAAATGTACTTGGTTTTGTTATGAAGCCATAAGACACTGTGGGATTTTAAGTGGGGCAGTTTCTTTGACATATGCAGTAAATAAATCAGCAATTCCTTTCCTTTGCCCATGTAGGATAACTAACACAAACCTCTCCCCTATTTCAATATCTAGTGTAAATGAGGTTTTGTTAGGTTACAATGAAGATGCCATATTATTATCTAATTCAGTCCACTTTTAATGCATTCATCACTGTATAACTCAGAATAAGAACACAATAATAATGAATAAATATTGCTCTGGCAAATCAAACAGTTAAATTTCAAGTCTTTTGCCTGATAGAATGATTGAAAACTCAGAGCAGCTCAACTTCTAAAAAGAAAAATGGTAAGACAGGACTGCTGGAAACCATCCTTCTTGCAATGTTTTATGTAGGAAGCAGGCATTTTTTCCAGAGCTGTCAGACAGGATGAGGTCAAAACCAGAATAGTATGAGAGAGATCTCAAATAATGATATTTGCTAAATATATGCCAGAAATTATTAATGTTATAGGGTGCAGACCTTTCTTCACTCACACTGGGGATGGAGAGCAGAGGATGAAAGCCAGAAAGCATCCGCTCTGCAGCCATAAATTTCTGAAACCTCTGTAGGGCAACAGCCAATCTAGTCAAGTATTGGTTGAAAATTCTGACAGGTTCATTTAGAGGACAATAACATAATTGTGCTGCTTTTTCATTAAAAAAAAGGACAAGTTGGTCTCTTCTAACACACAAGAAAAGATCAGGAAGAATATATCAATAAAGGAGATCAAACTTCCATTAAAACGGGTAGAAAAAAAATCACTTAGAAGTGATGGTAAAAGATAACAGTATTACTAGGAAATAAAAATAGTTAACAGTTAGGTAGTTGTTCCCATTTTCATTGTATAACGAAACCATGAACTAATCTGAGTGCTAGACTCGGAAATCCAAAACAAATATCATAAGAGATAAGAGATACAAATAATCTTGCAAAATTAATACGCAAATGCCACACTATCTATCAGTAACTCCATAAACCAATTGTGAATTCTATTTATTTGTAGACTTTGAAATGGAGTTCCAATGGAAATGTAACGATAAATCCTTTCAGAAATGCCATGATTCAAAAGACTCATGATGAGGAGTCCTGGGTTCATCATAGTTAAGCTGCAGTCTTTCAGACACTGAAGAAGTGTTGGAACCAGTACTTTCTTTCTTTCTCAGGTGAGTTCCTTCACGTCTGGACTTCAAAGTAGCTTCTCTAAGTCATTGTTTCAATGAAAATCTGAACAGTCCTTAGCAGTCGAGTAACTGAGGAAAAGGAGAAACTGAGAACAACCCACCATCTGTCTCCTGCTGTCCAGTGCAATCCTGCATCTGTAATTTGGTTTTTAAACTCTGCAGGGATTAGAGGGAACCCTAAACTTACATTGGCTGCACTATTTGATAAAATGGAAGTGCCAGTGGGATGATTAGTAGAGTCTTTTGTTATTCTGCCTCTTCCACAATCTCCTGTAATTGAACCATTTAATTCAATAAAAAAAATGTATTAACCATATGTCCATCTGCACAGAAAAAAGAAAATATCACTACCCCCACCACTGCAACATACCAGATGAGCACAACTGGATTTTCTTGCCTTTAGGAAACCAAGGCAAGCTGCATTATCCATCATTTTCCAAAGCTGCCATGCTGTTTCTGCTTTCTGCTTAAGTGCTGCAGGGGTAGAGTGTCCTGGGTTTGACAAGATGACAGCGGGATTCGCAGTGCACCGCCAGCACCTGCCCAGCAAGCCAAGCTCTGACAGAATGATGTGTGACCAAGTGGGAAAGCAGCCACACATACCTCAGTAAAACAAACAGTGCAGCACGGCCTGAGTGAGGCAAGCATATCAAACTGTGAAATGATTATAGGTTTACATACCATGATAAGAATTTACAAATCATTGGTATGATACACTACATTACAATTTCAAGGCAGGGAGTAGCAAAGGAAACTTCTTTTAGCCGAAGAATATACAATTACTTACCTAAGATCATAGTAATGGCATTCCCTGTGGGTTTGAGTATTTTTGTTCTTGTTTTTGCTTTTTAATAGGCTCTTATGAAAGGTACAGGCCAGAGATCATCAGACACAGTGTACACTTCCCAAGATTATTCAGGAAAAGTGTAGGCCCAGTACAGGCAATGGCTATATAGACTTTCATACACATCCAGCCAGCACACCCCTGCTCTCTGCCCTGCCAGAGGGAGTGGGATTTTTGATATCCCACTAAGACCGACTGGAAGGGTAGGAGAAAGCATGTACAAAAATGGTCAATGATTTCAATAAATGGGTATAACCTAGATTTAAAAGCCTGAAATTTTGACTAGTCTAATTTATTGCACATTGCTGTAAATAGAAAGCAAAATAGAATAAACAGTAGTAATAGTTCTGTCACACATTTTCAGTGCATTTAATTTCTCTCTGCTTATTTCAGATTTAAATGCTTTTGTGAATACACCACATTTTACCAAAATTTTTCTTTTCCTTAAATCTTCCTATTCAAGAAGTCTTTTTTTCTTGCTGTCTTTAAAGTGCTCTATGAAGCATTTTCTGAGAAGTGAGATGGCAATCTAAAGGCTTGGCTATCTAGTGAGCTCAAAACTAGCAAGCCTTTATGGCTGAAAAATTTCACAATGCATCTGTTTACACAGACAAGAAAATTGCTTACCTTATTTTTCCATTTTCTTCTGCACTGCTCTTATATATACATTAGCCTAAACAGCAGAGAGCTCCATGCAGTGATTTATAAAAGTCTTTTCTAACACAGAGAAAGGAAGTCTTCAGAATGCTTAATACAGTTACCTAAACTAGCACATATACTTTGTTCCAAAACTATTATTTGGTAAAATAAAAATATGTATTTGAATTACAAGGTTTTCCTAAGATTATTGGCAAGATTATGTATAACAATTTTTCAAAACACACAGCAGGGTTTTTTTGTTTGTTTGTTTTGTTTTTCCTCAAAATACAGAGTATTTTTTCAAAATACAATAAAGCATTTTAAAAGCTTGTAATAGAAGATTAAAGCATTCACAGTTCTACATTTATAGTAGCTCATATCAATTGAAGCTAGTGTAGCACAAAGCAAAGGATTCCACATGAATGTTTATGTTGCAACAGGAAGCACAGTATAATTATCAGTGAACACAAACTCAGATTTACCATGACTAAATTACACTTATATCAAATACATTACACTAAATAGATTTTAGCTTCTTTGAAGAATGAGAATACAGAACCATAGAAATCAAGCACACTAGGAAAAATCCTGGCCACTGCCTTGCACATTCACAGTAGATAAAAACAGATTGTCATATACTTATATATGTATGTACATATACACATCAGTATATCTACATACAAATGTATATCACATATAGTGTGACGAGTAGATGTATACAGAGCTGCAGATGAAAGTATATGTGCATGTATATATATATATGTATATATACCAAGTAGATGTATATATATATATATGTATATGTACACTTATGTCTATACACACACATATATCTGCAGCAATATATACACATAATTTTGTCACATTATTCCAAATATTGTTATAATGGAAGACTATATCTTTCACTAATTAGCTATCAACTTGATACAGATAATGTTCAGTCAAACATATCCCAGTAATACTTCAACCCAAATGCCTCCATTTTGCATCCATAAATATACTTTGTTTTCTAAATTCACCTAAATTAAATGCCAGTGCTT